AAACCCCTGGGGGTTGGGGGGTGGTGACAGGTCTGAGGGCACACACACCTTTCTACGACGGGTTTTGATCATGAATTCCCGGGCCAGGTGAGGAGCTGGCTGAGGCTCCAAGGGGCGGATGACAATGCTCTTATCCAGAGGATCCCCAGGAACAATCTGAAAGGCAAAGGGGTTTCAGAGGGTCCAGGCAGCCCTCTATCTGGGTCTGGAAGCAGGACTCTGAGGAGGTTGGAAAATCTCCGTCAGGACTTGGAAGGGAGACTGGTCCTAAGGGATTGGCCTTGTACAGGAGGGAGGCCGAGTCGGCCAGCCTGCACCACTTTCTCACCTGCCAATGGTGGAAGACAGACAAGGAAAAGGCCTGGCCCTGGGTGTGGGTCCGCAGGTCAGTCTCAAAGCCAAAGGAGTCGATAGCCGGGATGAAAGCTTTGATGGTGTAGAGGGGGGACCCTGGAATGGGCGCATCCTGCGTCACGTGCCCCCTGAGACAGAACAACAAGGGCTGAGTCAAAAGCAGAGAAGCCATCTGCCCTCAAATACACCCCAAACCGGAACTACCATAAAGAATGACTGTGAACGCACTGCAGGAGACAGAGGAGCTGGGGTCTCAGTCTGACACTGTGGAGGCCCAAGCGGAGCAACCTCGGGGCCAGAGTGGGGACGTTGCTGCATAAGGTTTTACAGAACTTTCCCCAGGAGCTCTCTGAGGAGGGCTGCCCAATAAGGAATCTCAAATCTTAATCTGCAGGAAAGCTGGGGATTTCCTCATTCCTACTCCTACTTCCTTCTGAAAGAGATCAGCTCATTAGGTTTCAGGAGTGGAGCGTGTGGGAGGCTGGTCCCTCCATGGTAGCCGAGTGACTTCCTGCTCTGCCCAGCCGCTGTGTCTCCCTAACGTGCGGGGCTGCTCACCTGCGTCTGGCCAGGACAGTATAAACAGCGGAGACACAATCTGCAGGGGCCTGGACCTCTACGAAGTAGTAAGGCTCCATCAGGCGAGGGGTGGCCTGCAACAGAGCAACAAGAAGGGGTTCCTCAGCTTGGGAAAGGCTGAGGACTTAATGCCCTGAGGTAGCATAGCCCCTCACTTACCATGAGGAAGGCAGAATAGACGACTCTCCTGGCCGTGGGGATGATTTGGCCCCCGCCCCGGTGCAGGGGCTCCTGGGCAACCACTGCATCTAGGATCTTAAACTTGACATTTCGAATCACTGAAAAGGAGATGGACAGCTGATTAAGGAGTGCTCACGGCCAGAGCAGCGAGGAGCCTCTTGTAGCTCTATAGCTATCTTGTGGCCACAAAAGAAAAGGTACAAAATTGCCCTGCAGCTGGGTATTCTGATAGGATAGCAAAGAAGTCAGCAGTCAAGCATACATTTATAGTGCTTGTTTCAGACATCATAAAGGTTCCCTAGAAGTTTACGTGCTTCTTCTGCAGACATTTAATTATTTTTGGATAGAGAAGAAATTCTAGGAATTGCATATTTGTTCCCATTAAGTCCAATCCTGGTCTATAAACCACTCCAATCCCATCCTCCTTTTGATACAGCTCCTCAAACTTATTTCTTCTCAGGAATGAGGAACGAATGTCAACTAGCAATGACTTCATTTCTATGAGGTACTAAGTGGTAGCAAAGGAAAGGGAGGGAGAGAGGCAGGAAATAGGCTCAGGACATGGGATGGCCCTGCTGCATGTCCTGCCAGGTCCCAAGGATAAGCCCACCCCACCGCCTACACCCAGGAGCAAGGGCCCTAGAGGACTCAGGTGGGGGAGGCGGAGAAACTGGTAGACTTACACTCATCACAGAGGGGTCCCTCCCTGGTTCCCCACTGGAAACCTTGAACAATGCTGTCCTTCACTGAGCCAAGAAGAGCCTTGTCCACCTGCACAGAACATAAGGGTTCTTTAGTGGTGACCCTGGCAATAGCCGGAGTTTAGAGGGAGGAGAAGGCAGGTAGGCTGGTAAGAGGACATTCTCCTTCACCAGAAGACACAAAATACTTCCAGGAGAAAAAGAACACTTGTAGTTTCTTCCACCTGAGCTAACAGACCATCACAAGGCTCCCGTCAGTTCTCCTGTACCTCAGAGGGCAGGGTATCATCCACCAGGATGTTGGGGCCGGTGGCATCAGGGCCAAAAGCCCAGATGGAACGGGCAGCCAGCAGATCCCAATCGTACTTGGTTTGGAAGAACTCTCCCAGCTTCTTCCTGGGGAAGGAGGAGACAACGAAGGGCTCAGCCAGCTCTTGTACAATCCTGCCTCTCTGGAGACAGTCACCTCACCCCACCCATACTGTGCCCAGGACAGCAGCAAAGTGGGAGAAACAAGTGACTTCCCAGAAGAGTGGGATATTAGAGATCCAGCAGTAAGTTATGGTGCCCTGCCCTGTCTCCCTTTAGCCCTGGAATGAGAGCTGTGTTCTCGCCTGTTCCACGTGATCTGGACCACCTCATTCTCGATGTCTTCAGCGAGGCCCTTTTCAAGAGGCTCAGCAATCATGGTGATCTTGTTCCTAGTGAGAGAGGAAATGAGTAACGAGGTGGGTGAGCAGGACTAGCAGAAGGGTCACTTCTAAGAAAAGGGTGACAAAGGAACAGATCAGGCAGTGACATCAGTGAAAACCACAGGAGCAGAGGAGAGCCAAAGGAGCTTATCTCTTTTTTCTCATTAGAATCTACTACTACTCTCTCTCTCTCTTTTTTAAAATATATTTTTATTTATTTCAGAGAGGAAGGGAGAGGGAGAGACAGAAACATCAATGATGATAATCATTGATCGGCTGCCTCCTGCATGCCCCACACTGGGGATTGAGCCCACAACCCGGGGGTGTGCCCTTAACCAGAATTGAACCCAGGCTTCAGTCCACAGGCCGATGCTCTATCCACTGAGCCAAACCAGCGAGGGTGAATCTACCACTCTTTATAAAAGGTTTGGGGCAACATTTACATAGAAAGGAGAAGTGACAATTGCAAGTCATCCTGGCATAGAAAGTCTTATGGCAAAGGACTTCATAGGATCGTGTCCAAAGGCATAATGGATCAGAGGCCGGGGCTAAACTCAAGGATTCTAAGCACCCCCATCCCCAGACTGCGGGGTCTCTATGTCCACAGAGTTGTGATTGTGGTGGAGTTGGTGGGGAGGGGAGTGTCAGTCCAAGGACACCAGAACGCCCAGCTTACTTCTTATTGGGTGTTTCAGCAAAGCACTTGAGAGAGGATGTTTCTACCACAGTCTCACAAAAGGTAACAACAGGGTCAGCCACCTGTTGGGAAACAAGATAAATTACTGGGCAAGGTCTCATTTTGTTGGAAGGATGACGTCCTGTCAAAGGGAATTCCAAGGGCCCCTTGACATTACCCCTGTGAGAACCCCCTTTTAATCAGTATCAGTGACAAATACAATCACAGCTAAAAGTTGCCATCACTAAGAAGCCTACGGAAACTTTAGTGTAGTGTGGTATCTATGTTCTGGAGTCAAAAGTACATGGGATCAAATCAGATCTGAATTATAGTCCCCCAAGGTATCCTTCACCATCCATTTAGCCGTCCCACCACCATTCACTGAATCACCCCTGCAGGTCTGTCAGAGCTGATACTAGAGACCTCCTGAGGAACAGCCTGGGACTTCTCCCTGAAGCTCCCACTGGCCCTGGCCTGTACCTGGGAAACCCAGCATCTTATAGAGCACCAGTCCCGGGCACATCAGTAGAAGAATCTAAAAGGGGTACGTGAGGGTACTCATTCCCACAACCTAAGGGCCTTGGAGAAAATGTGTCTCTCAACTGGGACACCGAGGCCATGAAAGGGCAGTTTAACTGAGGGGCTGTGTCAGGCTGGACGATGAATCCAGGTGAGCCAGGCCCACTCTCACCTTGAAACCATACACTCTGAGCCTTAATCACCACAGACAAATTAATTGTCCAACTTTTTTTTAAAAAAACAAATGAGCAAGAATAATTTTGGCTTGGGAGCACTGACTTTAATGCATGACACTGAGAATTACCCTGCAAAAGGGGGCAAACCAGATCTCAAATACCTTCCCATTTAGGGAGCAGCAGATCACGCTTTTCTGAAACCGATCTCCTCTAGTAGGGCACCCCTCTTCCAATGGGCCTTCCAGGGGACTCTAGGGTTTAGTTGCTTGTAAAATCAGCCTGGAGCTGTGAGCCAAGCCTCCTGGCCAGGCAGGCACTCAAGAAAGGAAGGGGCTGCTGCTTTACCTTGATGTCTATCTCGGAGTACATCTTCCGCAAATCATGCATCACACAGTCCAGGTAGAGCTCCCCAGTCCCCAGAATCACGTGCTCGCCAGACTCTTCCACCTGAAACGCAACAGCCCCGCTGCTCACAGCTTGGACTCTACTGTGCCAGCAACAGCAGACAGACACGGAATCAAGGCGGGAACCCAGGAGGCGGTGCCTGAATCCACGATCACACACAGCCACTGCTCACTGTCGGCTCCAGCCTCTTCAAGAAGGATCAGTGACCTATGAGTAAGTCCTCAAGACCCCAGCTCACTCAGGACAGTGCTACTGGATGTGATGAGGTCACCAATTTTACTACCATCTTATAAATTTAGAGAAAACCATGCCCTATGTCTGTGGACATAAGCTGACCTTTTTTTTAGCCCTGGCCAACTACTCAGAAAGGTATGCTGGCAGGCTCAAGAGTGTAGAAGGGTCAGAGTGACTCACTTTTTCTTCTCTATTGGCTGGACAAATTAATTCAAAGTGTCTCTACAAGAAACATCTCTTTCCTATCTATACACTTGTGAACGCTGCACACACACGTGTCACACCCTCCCTCCCCACAACATGGGTCTCATCCTGCCTTTAAATGACAGCAACAGGGATTAAGTCCTGATACAGGCCGTTGGAAGCAGCAAATCAGAGGCACCCGATGGGCACGAAGCAGTAGGCAGCACAGACCACTCAGCGGGGCAAGCAGGGCGTGGCAGCTGCAGGCCTCGGGCTACCTTGGTGGTGAGGGACGGATAGCTCTTGTTGACCTTGCGCAGACCGTCCAGCATCTTGGGCAGCTCCGAGGGGTTGACTGGCTCCACAGCAATTTTGATAACAGATGTGGTGTTGAACTTCAAGGGCCGGAAAATCTGAGCCTGAGGTCCAAAATGCAGAGGAGTGAGGACACCCGGCCTGAGCAGGCGCAGAAAGTGTGGACATAAGAGAAGCTGAGGACCTACTTAGGGACAGTCTCTTCTCCAACCAAGAGCCTCGGGGCTGCTTGAAGGCAACCTGAAGGGCCATTCATTGCTGTGTATTTTGGCAGAACAGAGAGAAGGGAAAGAATAAAAGGCCTTCCCCCCAATTCCTAGCACCTGAGCAGACACTCCAGGAAGACTCCAGCAGGCTCAGATCTAGAAGGCTGAGCCTGGGCTGAGGCCTGGAACCAGGAAATGGCAGTGACTCTGGGTTAGTCCCTGCCCGTTCTGCTGCTTATAGCTCACGTGTGCCGTGGCCTCCTGAGAACTTTACCTCCTCATTGCCTCGGGGTTCAGTTATGGTTGCCGTCTTCACAATTGGTTGATCGACACCTTCAATCAGAACCCAGTTGCCAGCAGGAACGCGATTCACCTCAATGTGGTACCTGGAGCAACATCCAATAAGCAGCAGTGACACTTGGGCAGAATAGTCATAAGAATGTACTCAGTGCCCACTGTGTGCCTGGCTCTGAGCCAGGAGCAGTGGTCAGCCGAACAGATACATTCGAGCAGGGAGGGGTGCAATAAACAATCAGTCACATAACCACACATATATGTCGTTACAAATTGGTAAGTGCCATGAAAAGAAGTATAAGGGACTAAATGAGGAACAGACAGGAAAGCCTAATTCCAGTTGGATGTTGGTGGTAAGCAAGCCACTCTCAAAGGCATGGGATGTAAGGAGATGCCAAAAGCACCACAGGACATATTGCAGCTGTCCTAGCTCTTGGATTTTCTCCTGCCTTCCAGTGAACAGGGTGGATTTGGAGGAGGGAAAGGGGCCTTGGCGAGGCGCAGCAGCCACATGAGGAACAGGGCTGCCCAGTTCTGCTTCCTAGCTGGGATGCTACATTTAGGAGCCGACAAGCTACCCAGAAGCCCAAGCTAAATTTTCTTCGGCAGATGAGGACGCTACAAGGAATCCGGCAAAGTCTTCTCTCTGGGCTAAAGAATATCCAGTGGAGGTTGGGAAACAATTTCTCTTGGGAAGAAACATTACAGTTGTGACTTAAGGAACACAGAAGAGGAAGAGGGGATTAAGATGAGTAAAAACAGAAATGCTGCTATAAAAATTAATGTAAGCCATCCAAACACAAAGGCAAGGCTCTGGGCATTATCCCAACAATGGCTGCCTTGTGGCCCTCGCCAGGCCGGGTAGTAAGAACTAGAAGTCAATAGATCTGCGGAGGGAGGGTCAACTTAGCCCCTGTTGGAGGGAGCCAGGCAGCAACTGTTTCCAGGGAGGATCACCCTTGCGGCTGCCTGGGGAGTTCGTACGGCGGACAGGCAGGCCCCGAGAGGCCCTGTTAGCAGTACCTGGCCACAGAGATCCAAAGGCGGCCTACGGTGCATATCTGGGAGTCTTCCTCGTCCTCCAGAGTGTAGTTCTCCCCCAGCACCTTCACAGGCTGCCCAGCATGGATGGTACCACTTAGCACCCGGCCAAAGGCATGAAACTGAACTCCATCATCTGTGCTGTACATCTTGGTGGTGTGGCACATCAAGGGACCCTGGAGGAGGGGACAGAGTGCAGCCTCACCCACATATACTCTCTAGGTAAGTGCCTCCCCTCATAGCAATGACATGAGCTCTAAGAGGTAGTCCAGACCTAGAAGATGTGGCGACCTTCCAGGAAAATTCCAACCACGCTTTCCTCCTGCTTATTAATAGATGTCAAAGGCACAGGAGAAAAAAGCTATTTTCCTTTTCTCTGGGGAGATGCGGGAAATAGGGGAAAAAGCAGGTTTAGGATGGCAGATGGCACTGTTAACTTGCAAGATTATAAAACGGATTTGCCCCAAATTTCCTCCAAAGATTTAACTCACAATTCTCAATTGGCTGTATGTTTATGCTAAGAAACTAGACTGCTGAAGGAATGGCTGGGAAAGAGATTTAGAAAAGCCAGGACTGATCAGATTAGCAACCATTTGTTGCATCTTTAATAACCAGTAGGCACCATAACACTTGCTTAATCTTACTTACGTCTCATAATGACCACACACATTACTATCCTCATTTCACATACAAAGACCCTCAGGCTGAGAAAGACTGAATAATGTTGCCAAGATCATACCATTAGCAGCAGTAACATCAGGCTTTGAATTCAGGCCTGCCTGTGCTCAGGTGGAGGGCAAGCAAAAAAGGGGGAAGAAGGCATTTCTCCTGTAACCAGAAAACACTGTCCCTGCACAGGAGGGAAGACTCAGAGAGCTGTCGGGGAGCTCCATCCCCTTACATCAGGGTCACAGTCGCTCATGGCCTCGCCGAGGTCGGAGTCCACGCCGCCGGTGTAAGTGTGCTCGATCTTGGGCTTGGCGCCCACCTTTGGAGAAGGGATATGCTGCACACACATGTCCACAAAGCCTGTGGAGGAGAGAAGGCCGTTACTCTGCACCCTCATGGGGGGAGGAGGAGAGTGGTGACGTACTCATCCACTCAGATTTTAGGGGGAAGTGATACCCTATTTCCTGGGCGTAGGATGCTAAAAGGCTGGAGTCATACTGCTGCCAGGAAGCACAAGCAGCAGGTCTCAGTGATTCCTTGGAACTCAGCTGACAAAGACTTTCAAGTATCTCTATCAATCCACAACCTTTTATTGAACGTAAGCACTTACTGCACACTTACAGGGAACAGTAAGGGCCCCATCTCTCCCCCTTTGGCAAACGTTGCATATGTTTCTGTTCCATAAGTTATCCTGGTTTTCTAACCGTCAGTAAGTCATGCAAAAAAGAAGCTCCATTAGCACCTTGGGGTAGGCACGTCTGCTTTCAGTGGTATCTCCATGTTAGACTGAGGGCCAGCCCAGAGTGACTCTTAAAATGATGCACTCTGCAGACTCAGACACCTATATCCCACTAGACTCAGACTCAGAAATGGCTGAGGGGCCTCTCTGCCATCACCTTTTCCTCGCCTTTATTTTACAGATGAGAAATCAGTCATAGAATGACTGGCCCAGGGACATCCTACGGAAGAGCAGGATCAAGACTCAGGTCTTTCATTAACCAGTCCAGGGCTCATTCTCCTATATCACCTGCCTTTTGTGTAACTAAATTACAGAAGAGACAAGCTCGGGGAAAGAGAAATCTGCGTCTACAGTCTCCCAAGTCCTCGCCTGGTGCTTTTCCCACTATTGCACATCACCAATGAGTCCACTTTCCTGACGGTCCCCTGGCAAAAATACCAGAACCTCAGTATCTGCTTCCCCATTTCTTTTTTTTTAAAAATATATTTTATTGATTTTTTACAGAGAGGAAGGGAGAGAGATAGAGAGTCAGAAACATTGATGAGAAACATCGATCAGCTGCCTCCTGCACACCCCCCACTGGGGACGTGCCCGCAACCCAGGCACATGCCCTTGACCGGAACCGAACCCGGGACCCCTCAGTCCGCAGACCGACGCTCTATCCACTGAGCCAAACCAGTTTTGGCTGCTTCCCCATTTCTTTACTTGCATGCTCCTTCTGGTAGGGAAATGTAATTGCTTTTGTTTCCCAAGACAGAATTCTTGGTACCACCCACTAAGGAAAGCAGCTAGGAAAAACCCAGGTGCTCTGTATCCTGACCTTATTTAAGGGCCTCAGACCTCTGACCCACTGTGGGTTAGGGAAAAGTTCCCCCGACACACGTGGCAGGACATAATGATAGTGACGTTAAGGGAGCAATGAGCTCTTCGTTACCTGTGAATTCGCCAAAGAACTTTTTGCAGACCAGCCTGAGCAGGGGGCGGATGTTCAGCTTTAGCTCCTCCTTGGTCAGGTGGATGCCAAGCTCGTCCAGGGTCCTCGGGAGGCTGGTGTCCACATCCCCCACAACCTGTGACGATACCAGACACATCAGCAGTAGCGGTAGCCCCACTGTGGGGCTATGGAGGAGGAGAAGGGAAGGCCAATGGGCAACCTGAAGGGTAACTGCACTAGGTTCTTGTCTAGAGGGAGAGCTTTTGGCAAGAACGGTTTAGTTTCAAGAAAACCTTTGGTACCAACCCTGGGTGAAGCAGGCTTGGTAAATGCCCACACCAGCCAATAAACCTGGAGCTCTCAAATGAGTTATCAGTGCTGCCCCCTGGTGTCTGAAAAGCAGCATCTCATTCCACTCAGGCAGTCCCTTAACTTCCCCTATTTAGAGACTTCTCAGATTGAGAGGATCACTGCACTGGAAGGAACCAAAAAAGGTCACCTAGCATTCCATCGGCTGTCAGGGCAGGGCCAAGCTAAACCATCCTCAGCAGACTCAAGGTCTCTACCAAGACAGACTCTATAAATTTCTTTTATTAATCCATTCCAGCCTGACACAAGATACTAAGTATTTTTTTTTAGCACTAATAAATTTGAATCATGTTATTTTTGTCTTGTTGCTGTTTTACTATTTTAAAGTTGGAATGACCACACACATTTTGTGTATATGCGTGTGTTCACTGTGCACAGTACTTATTCAACACTTGCATATTTTATAACTGTATGAAAATTCTTGTACAAAATTATTACTTTTAGTTCTGCCTTTTAGGGAGCAAATTCATACAAATATAACATTATACTCTTTTTGTTGGAGCATCCCGTATGTTTAACTGTCTGGTGCCTCCTGTTCAGACAAACATCACATACATATGTGCCCAGAAGAGTCATTCAATACAAGCCCATGCTGCCATTCTTCTTATGCAGTGGTTCTCAACCTTCTGGCCCTTTAAATACAGTTCCTTATGTTGTGACCCAACCATAACATTATTTTTTGTTGCTACTTCATAACTGTAATGTTGCTACTGTTATGAATCGTAATGTAAATATCTGATATGCAGGATGGTCTTAGGCGACCCCTGTGAAAGGGTCGCTGGATCGCCAAAGAGGTCGCGACCTACAGGATGAGAACCGCTGTTCTAATGGCTGCAAAATACCTCCTTTCATGGGCTGTACCAGAATTCATTTAATCAGATTATCGCTGAAGAACATTTAACTGATTTCCAGGTTTTAAATTTTTTCCTTACTGTTATAAATAATGCCCTAACAAATAAATATATATGAAAACTGGAGGACTTTCACAATTATATCTGTTAGTTAAATCTCCGTAACTGAAATTATACATTCTCAAGGGTCATGTTCTTTTAAATAGTCAAAATCTTTGCACAGATCTGTTCAGGTTGTG